CCCCCTTGTCCATTTATTCCCCCTCCCCTACCTCTATTGTAGCGTGGCCGAGCCCTGTATAGTCGGCGGGTATAGGTAGCTTTTGTTTCCTGTACCCGGCCGGACTAAAAGGAAGTGAACACTTCCTGTTAGTCCGTCCGGGTACAGGAGACAGATGCTCCCTGTACCCGCGGACCATACTGGGCTCGGCCACGCTACAGGGAGTCACAGGAGGGAGCGCTGAGTGCTTCCCTCCTGTCAGCCCCTCTCCCCATGCTGCGCCCGGGCGGTGCGGTCCGCCCTCATGGACGCACCAGCCCGGGCAAAGCTGCAGCCGCCTGAGGCGCTCTACAGAGCACTCGGGCGGCTGCAGCATTAGGGGGGCCGGCGCTCCTGGCGGCGCCCCTTCCCAAGGGGCGCCCTAGGCGGCTGCCTAGTCCGCCTTACAGGTAGCGCCGGCCCTGTCCCCTGGTAGCCCTGATCTGGGTGAGAAACATATTCAAAAATCACCCAGATCGGACCAGGGGTTCGGGAATTTCCTGGAGGTAATAAAAAGACCGACCGTGCTGAAGTTTACAGCTGAAAGGGGTTCCATACATTTTGGCCCTGCGGTCGGTCACAGAAAAAGGGAGCCGTTCGGTAGTTCCTCCACGAATTGACGGCAGTGTGGAGGTCTCAGCGGTGTTTGACTAACAGAGTGTCCGATTTAGGTTCCATACGTTCGACGGCAAAACACAGCTGTTCGGGAGTTTAAGATAGCCGCTGCAACGTGTTGTTCTCCCGAATGGCGGCCACCCAGAGGACAAAGCACACACTGCACTGATTGCCAATTACCTGTTTGCAACATTGTTGCGAATGGTAATTGGAGGCACACTTATTCCTGGGGTGGTCTGATTGTTCGGTAGTTTCACCTGCATAATAACTGGAGTGATTTTAACGAACAATTAGACGAATGCTGCATACACTTTACATACATATGGCAAAAATTAACCGAACACATACGAATTCACATAATTCTGAGGACAGCCCAATGCCATCCGCTACACTCTGCCTGGAGGGAGAGTGTGATCTATAATGTATTATTAACCCTTTATGTCGTGGCTTTATGGCACATGTGAGCCCTCAGCCTTTCAGTTTGATTCCCATAATACCATCACTTTCTGTCATGCTGTATAATGGACGTACATGCAAGGTACAATACGGAAATATCGATTAACATTGGTTGGCGAAGGCTCTGGTCGAGTGAGCTTGCAATCTATATAAGTAACTCTGTTGCTGTCACACACCAGAGAGGTTTTATGTTATCGTCTAACAGCAGAGAGACAAGAGAATTCAGTGAATACCAGAAATACCGAACCCAGTAGGAATTGTTCTGGTTAATTTACATATTACTTTGATACAGTATTCCTAGCCAGCAGTAATACAGCTCAGGAGGTCCCCACATTAATAAAAGACACAGTGTTAGTGCAACTAGTAATCCTATTATTAATCACATAAAAATATAGTATTAGCAGTAAAGACAAATACAGCATAATAATATAGAGAACTAGTATAAAAACAGAGGGGTATAGTATAGCGATATAGAAAGACAGAGTATATCAATATAATAGGGTGATATAAAGAGGTATAGTGATATAAAGAGGTATAGTATAGTAATATAAAGAGATATAGTGTAATGATATAAAGAGGTATAGTATAGTGATATAAAGAGGTATAGTATAACGATATAAAGAGGTATAGTATAGCGATATAAAGAGGTATAGTATAGCAAAATAAAGAGGTATAGTATAACGATATAAAGAGGTATAGTATAGCAAAATAAAGAGGTATAGTATAGCGATATAAAGAGGTATAGTATAGCGATATAAAGAGGTATAGTATAGCGAAATAAAGAGGTATAGTATAACGATATAAAGAGGTATAGTATAGTGATATAAAGAGGTATAGTATAGTGATATAAAGAGGTATAGTATAGCGATATAAAGAGGTATAGTATAGCGAAATAAAGAGGTATAGTATAGCAAAATGAAGAGGTATAGCGATATAAAGAGGTATAGTATAATGATATAAAGAGGTATAGTGTAGTGATATAAAGAGGTATAGTATAGTGATATAAAGAGGTATAGTATAGCGATATAAAGAGGTATAATATAGCGATGTAAAGATTTATAGCGATATAAAGAGGTATAGTATAACGATATAAAGAGGTATAGTATAGTATTATAAAGAGGTATAGTATGGTGATATAAAGAGGTATAGTATAGCGATATAAAGAGGTATAGTATAGCGAAATAAAGAGGTATAGTATAACGATATAAAGAGTTATAGTATAACGATATAAAGAGGTATAGCATAGCGATGTAAAGAGGTATAGCGATATAAAGAGGTATAGTATAACGATATAAAGAGGTATAGTGTAGTGATATAAAGAGGTATAGTATAGCGATATAAAGAGGTATAGTATAACGACATAAAGAGGTATAGCATAGCGATGTAAAGAGGTATAGCGATATAAAGAGGTATAGTATAACGATATAAAGAGGTATAGTGTAGTTATATAAAGAGTTATAGTATAACGATATAAAGAGGTATAGTATAGCGATGTAAAGATTTATAGCGATATAAAGAGGTATAATATAACGATATAAAGAGCTATAGTGTAGTGATATAAAGAGGTATAGTATAGTAATATAAAGAGGTATAGTATGTGTGGCGAAACCAACCTCGCCACTATGCACTGGAGAAGCCTGGTTGCCAGCCTCCTGCCATCTGACTATGGCCCCCTTGTGAATTCGTACTTTTGTATGCAATATTTGGGCATGTGACATTTTTATATTGCTGCTACTGGCCCTTTAAGGGCCCTCCGTGAACATATTCTGCCTGTTAGGAATAATGCCTTTTTAAGACTGTGTAGCAAATTGCATTCAGGCTGTATTTAATATTATGTGTTCGGTATAAAGTGTTATGTGAATGCAGCATTCCCTGATTGTTCGGTAGAATCACTTCATTCATTATATTGGGTGAAACTACCGAACAACCAGACCACCCTGGAGTAAGTGTGCCTCCAATTACCGTTTGCAACAATGTTGCAAACAGAGTAGTAACTATATAATAATACTGTGTATTTATTGTCCTCTGGGTGGCATATGCGATGCGTCAAACGAACGCGTGGCCTGACCATGCTAAACTCGAACAGGTGTTTTGCGTCAGTGTCTGGAACTAAAATGATTTTCGACTAAGCAAGCCGCTGAGACCTGAACTTCAGCAATTGGTGCAGAAACTGCGAGCGGCCGCCCGTTGGTGAAAAATCCCAGAACAGGGGATTCATACGAATCCTCCCCAAGCTCCATAACCCAGGCAATTCGTGTGTTTGATTCCCTTTTCTGTGACCGACTGCAGGGCCAAAATACATGGAACTATTTTCGGATACTTTTGCCATGCAGTCGGTCAAAACTTTAACCCTTTATAATTCCTGAACCCCTGGTCCGATCTGGGTGATTTTTGGATATGTTTCACCCAGATCAGGGTTACCAGGGGATGTAACATTTAAAGGGGTATTCCTATGTTTAGGGGTACATCCAGTATCCCAGGGAATTTGTGTCTGTATTAATGGGATTATGTGTCACACTAAGGGGAGGAGATGTGTGGGAGGTAACTGGTACATTATTGGCTGGGGTACTAATTGTTGTGGATCCCTCCCTTGCATGGGAGCATGTCTTAAAAGGAGGCTGTGTGAATAAATCCTGAGATTTCTGCTTAACCCTCAAAACGAAGTGTCGTCTCGTTATTGGGGGAATTGGATTGTGTGCTGACTGCCAGGAGTGTAAGCCGTTCGTATTGCTTTTCCTGTTCGGCTGCTTCCAGAGTTCGTGTATTTCTTGTTCGTGAGTTGGGGATTCGTACAGTTTGGAGTTCGGGAAGTTGGTGATTGCAATAGCTGCTGGTCTATGGGAAAGGGGATTATCGCCTAAACGGATTTATCCCTTTGTGAGAGAAACGGTCCGTTACAATTGGTGGCAGCGGTGGGATCGTTCCTACAACCAGAAAGACAGCTACAGGGCAACACCATTCCTTGGATTACAAAGTGAGGGCAACGCCAGTACACGTACAGCGACCCTATCGACAAAAGAACCAACTTCAGCAGCGCAAGCATGGCACCTAGCTACACTCAGGAGCAGTATGACAGAGAGTTTGCTATGCGGCTGGCTTTCTTTGGACCCAACCCCCGGAGAAATACGTGCAGTTCGTAAGGAGCCAGGTAGACGAGTACCTGGAGTTCATGGCAGATCCAGCCAAAGGTATCAGCCGCCCTATCCGGAGGCAGAGTGCGTTACGGGGACTCATAGGTGTGTCCCAGGGAGCAGAAGGTGTCGTCCTTCCTCCCCAGCGGCAGTGTGTATCCCAGGGAGCTGAAGGTGTAGTCCTTCCTCCCCAGCGGCAGTGTGTATCCCAGGGAGCTGAAGGTGCAGTCCTTCCTCCCCAGCGGCAGTGTGTATCCCAGGGAGCTGAAGGTGCAGTCCTTCCTCCCCAGCGGCAGTGTGTAACCCAGGGAGCAGAAGGTGCCGTCCTTCCTCCCCAGCGGCAGTGTGTATCCCAGGGAGCTGAAGGTACCGTCCTTCCTCCCCAGCGGCAGTGTGTATCCCAGGGAGCTGAAGGTACCGTCCTTCCTCCCCAGCGGCAGTGTGTGTCCCAGGGAGCAGAAGGTGCCGTCCTTCCTCCCCAGCGGCGGTGTGTGTCCCAGGGAGCAGAAGGTGCAGTCCTTCCTCCCCAGCGGCAGTGTGTATCCCAGGGAGCTGAAGGTGCAGTCCTTCCTCCCCAGCGGCAGTGTGTATCCCAGGGAGCTGAAGGTGCAGTCCTTCCTCCCAAGCGGCAGTGTGTATCCCAGGGAGCTGAAGGTGCAGTCCTTCCTCCCCAGCGGCAGTGTGTGTCAAGGGCAGAAGGTGCAGTCCTTCCTCCCCAGCGGCGATGTGTAGGGGGAGCTGAAGGTGCAGTCCTTCCTCCCCAGGGGGCGAGTGTGTACCCCAGGGGCTGAAGGTGCCGTCCCTTCCTCCCAATGACAGCGTGTACCCCAGGGAGCTGAAGGTGCGTCCTTCCTCCCCAGCGGCAGTGTGTACCCCAAGGGGGAGCTGAAGGTGCAGTCGCGCTTCCTCCCCAGCGGCAGTGTGTGCCCAGGGAGCTGAGAATTTTTGATCCCTTCCTCCCCAAGCGGCAGTGTGTACCCCAGGGGGCTGAAGGTGCACGTCCCTTCCTCCCCAATGACGGTGTACCCCAGGGAGCTGAAGGTGCCGTCCTTCCTCCCCAGCGGCAGTGTGTACCCCAGGGAGCAGAAGGTGCAGTCCTTCCTCCCCAGCGGCAGTGTGAACCCCAGGGAGCAGGAGGTGCAGTCCTTCCTCCCCAGCGGCAGCGTATACCCCAGGGAGCTGAAGGTGCAGTCCTTCCTCCCCAGCGGCAGTGTGTACCCCAGGGAGCCGAAGGTGCCGACCTTCCTCCCCAGCGGCAGTGTGTCCGGCAGGAAGCGGAGACAGTCGGTCTCGCTCCCCAGCAGCAGGACAATATATTAAAAGGGGAGACAGTTGGTCCCCCTCTCCAACAGCAGAGAGTGTTCCAGGGAGAGGAACCAGTTATCACCTCTCCCCAGCAACAGGACGAATTATTGAAAGGGGAGACAGTCGGTCTCCCCCTTCAACAGCAGAGAGTGGGTCAGGGAGAGGAGCTTGTTATCCCCTCTCCCCAGCGGCTGAAAGTATGTATGGGAGAGGAGCTTGTTACACTCTCTCCCCAGCGGCAGCTTAGCCCACCAAGGGGAGACAGTAATCTCCACAACAGTGCAGATGGGACCGTAGTCGCTGCACATGCACCACCGGGGGTAGGGACAGTCGGTCCTGTCACCCAGCAGCAGGACTGTTTAGGCAAAGGGGAGACAGTCTGCCTTCTCCTCCAGCAACCAGGCTCCAACCAGACTGCTCCCATGGTAGTGCTGGCACCAGGGCAGAGTACCGCTGGTCTCTGTACACTCAGCAACCCACCCAGTACGCTGACCAGTCACCCACGCAGCCAGGGTGAGGCACCTGGACACGGACAAGGTTCTACTCTACCCTGGTGTAGTAGCCAGTTATTGTGGGTGGGCTGTATTACGGATTGGGTTTTGTGGGTGGGCTGCTGGACTAACAAGGGCACTGACCGGCAGGAGGTCAGATACCCTGTTAGTCTGATTGGTAAAGGGGAGAAGTGTGGCGAAACCAACCTCGCCACTATGCACTGGAGAAGCCTGGTTGCCAGCCTCCTGCCATCTGACTATGGCCCCCTTGTGAATTCGTACTTTTGTATGCAATATTTGGGCATGTGACATTTTTATATTGCTGCTACTGGCCCTTTAAGGGCCCTCCGTGAACATATTCTGCCTGTTAGGAATAATGCCTTTTTAAGACTGTGTAGCAAATTGCATTCAGGCTGTATTTAATATTATGTGTTCGGTGTAAAGTGTTATGTGAATGCAGCATTCCCTGATTGTTCGGTAGAATCACTTCATTCATTATATTGGGTGAAACTACCGAACAACCAGACCACCCGGGAGTAAGTGTGCCTCCAATTACCGTTTGCAACAATGTTGCAAACGGGTAATTGGCTATATGTGTACTGTGTGTTGTGTCCTCTGGGTGGCCGCCATTCGTGAAACGAACACGTGGCGGCGGCCATCTTAACCTCCCGAACAGCGGTGTTTTGCCGTCGAGTGTCTGGAACTAAAATCGGACACTCGACTAAGCAAACACCGCTGAGACCTCCAGACTTCCAGCAATTCATGCAGAAACTACCGAACGGCCCGCCGTTCGGTAGAAAGGATCCCACGAACAGGGGGATTCATACGAATCCTCCCCAAGTTCTGTAACACAGGCAATTCGTGTGTTTGATTCCCTTTTCTGTGACCGACTGCAGGGCCAAAATACATGGAACTATTTTCGGATACTTTTGCCATGCAGTCGGTCAAAACTTTAACCCGTTATAATTCCTGAACCCCTGGTCCGATCTGGGTGATTTTTGGATATGTGTCTCACCCAGATCAGGGCTACCAGGGGATGTAACATTTAAAGGGGTATTCCTATGTTTAGGGGTACATCCAGTATCCCAGGGAATTTGTGTCTGTATTAATGGGATTATGTGTCACACTAAGGGGAGGAGATGTGTGGGAGGTAACTGGTACATTATTGGCTGGGGTACTAATTGTTGTGGATCCCTCCCTTGCATGGGAGCATGTCTTAAAAGGAGGCTGTGTGAATAAATCCTGAGATTTCTGCTTAACCCTCAAAACGAAGTGTCGTCTCGTTATTGGGGGAATTGGATTGTGTGCTGACTGCCAGGAGTGTAAGCCGTTCGTATTGCTTTTCCTGTTCGGCTGCTTCCAGAGTTCGTGTATTTCTTGTTCGTGAGTTGGGGATTCGTACAGTTTGGAGTTCGGGAAGTTGGTGATTGCAATAGCTGCTGGTCTATGGGAAAGGGGATTATCGCCTAAACCGATTTTATCCCCGTTTGAGAGAAACGGTCCGTTACAGTATGGTGATATAAAGAGGTATAGTATAGCGATATAAAGAGGTATAGTATAGCGAAATAAAGAGGTATAGTATAACGATATAAAGAGTTATAGTATAGCAATGTAAAGAGGTATAGTATAGCGATATAAAGAGGTATAGTATAACGATATAAAGAGGTATAGCATAGCGATGTAAAGAGGTATAGC